CCCAACAGTAAACCATGTGACCACCTGATTCAAATGGCCAACACCAGTCCATTCAGCTCACTGATGCCACGGGGCTCGGTCTTCATGCGCTCCGTTCCATCTGACCATTTACAACGTTCCTGAATCCCCCTCCGCACATTCCAAGTTCCAGTCATTCGGGGATTTTTGCAGCTGTGTCTCGCCCCCTTGAGTGGAGCCCCGTCAGCAACTGAATGTCCGGAAGGCTCCCCTTCCACAGGCTGGACCCATTTCCCCTCCTCATGGCCTCTCCCCTCCCAGAGCCGGCACCTCTGCAGTCAATGTCCAGGGCCTGGGCCAGCAGCCCCGACCGTGTTCTCCTTCCTTTGTTTAGGCGGTCGGTGTCTGACAACCTTCCAGGCTGTGCCCAAGGTCTTCAGCGGCTCCTGCCTCTGAAGTGGGGAGCCGGGTCCCCGTCATTGTCGGTTCTTGGTCTCAGAAGCTCCGCTGAAACCTGTTCACTTTGGGTGGCCCTGCATTCACAGTGTGGCCTTACCTACTTTAAATGCCGCCTTACATACTTTGGGCACGTTGTCAGGAGAGGCCAGTCCCCGGAGAAGGACGTCATGGTGGTTAAGCGGAGGGCCGGGGAAAGAGGAAGGCCCTGGAGGAGACGATGGACACTGTGGCCGCACCCAGGGGCTCAGGCTGGCGCAGGCGCATGCAGAGTCCCATTCTGCGGGTGACTGCGAGGGACAGGCCTCCCCATGGCACTCCACCGCAGCCCCTTCATCCAGACACATCAGCCCTTCCTCGTGCCGTGTCTGAATTTCACGTGCACTTGGGGCGATTGTACCGTGGCGGGGGCCAGGTGTCCCTTGTCTTCACAGGGACACCTTGCCTTTAGACACACGACTGAGGACGTGTGCTCCAGGCCTGCCAATGCCATCAGGGGGAGGGCCTGCTTTGAGGCTGGAGCTCAGTTGGATGAGTGCTGTGGAGAGCAGAGGGGAGTCTGGTGCCCGTGGGCTCTTGAGCTAAGAGTGGGAGGCCCGTGTGTGGAGCAGTGGACACGGTTTATCTGGACAGAGGCCAGTGTGTGGGCCAGTGGACATGGTTTATCTGGACAGAGGCCAGTGTGTGGGCCAGTGGACATGGTTTATCTGAGCAGAGGCTGATGTATGGGGCAGTGGACACGGGTCCATGTGGACCTGAGAGTTAAGCAGTGGACAGGGGTCATCTGGATCTGCAGAGGGCAGGTGCAGGCCTGCCCCTTATGGCTCTGCTGGCCACAGCTGTCAGGCCCGTTAGGGAGTCCGATGGACCCTGTTAGACCCTCAGTGTTATTCCGGGGGTCTCTTGTGGAGCAGGGACAGGGTGGGGTGCCCCCTCACTGCCCGAGTTGGCTGCACTGTGTCGGGTAAGGAGGGTGGGAGGCCCCTGGGCCGCCGCAGGAACCAGGTATCGGGTGCTGAGGGACCTTCTGGGCATGTCACAGAGGCCAGGCAGCAGAGCCGTGGGTAAGGCAGGGTGGGGTCCAGTGCGGTGGGCAGGTCCCGGGCCCCATTTGAGCTACAGTCTGTGTCCAGCCAGGCTCTGCTGCCTGGAGGTCAGGTAGGGCTGGGCTCCAGGGGCTGTGGAGTGCCCTGGGAAGCGGCTGCCCGCTCTGCTGAGGACCTGCAGCTGGCCCAAACACCACCCTTCCAGCCCTCGGTGGATGCCGGCTTGCGACGCTGCAGGACAGGGCAGCACTGCCCACTGCCAGTGAGGTTCCCAGACTAGCTCTTGACGGGAGCAGAGTCCCGTCTTTCGGCTGGTGGTTTTGAACTGCTTGTAGTGCTTGTCGTGATCAGGGACCAGAGCCCTGGCTCCGCTAGGGACAGCCTGCTCCTAGACTAATGGAAGCCTTGTGTGTGCCTTGTCTTCCAATGTCAGCAGTAATCTCAGACAAGAAGCGCCCACTGGCCAGGGGGCAAGGGGTCACACTGTGAAGGGTCATTCGGCTCCTTCTGTGGGCCAGGCACCCCCAGACTCCCAGAGGGGAGACCTCTGACCCAGACAAGCTCCCCAATCCATCCCTGTGACTCACGCCTGGGTCCTGGTCACCTTTTCCCTCTGAGGTGAGCTCCCCACCCTCCCTTCTAACCTGGGCTACCCAGACCACACCCTCCTCTGACCCAGGCCTGTACCCCAGTCCTCCCTCCCTCCTCCTGTGACTCAGAATGCAGAACGCCTGTGACCATTCCCTTTCCCCCAAATGGGGAAACTGAGGCTTGAATATGGGCAGTGTCGTGGGGGTTCCTGGCAGCATGAAGTTGGGGTTCAGGGTCAGGGAAGCAGGCATACCAGGTGCACTCAGAGAAGAGCCCGGTGTCTGGGGCACAGACTCGGGGTGCCATGCGAGCAGAACAAGCACCTACCAGGGTGCTCATGCTCTGGGACATCACCCAGGTAGTCTAACACTGGGTCTTCCGACTCTGAGCTGAGGAGGGGATAGGATACCCCCATGTGTTCTCCACTGGGACCCCCGACTATAAGCTGGGGGTAGAGTCTATGATATCATGTGTGTTCAACCAGCTGGGTCTCCCGACAGAGTTGGGGGATGCGGCTAGGACATTTCCCTGTGTGTTCTCACCCTGGGTCCCCCAGCTGAGGCCCAGGAAGACGAGGCTGCTGGGGGTGGGGGTGTTGGCTGGGATGGGCAGGGCTGGGCAGGCCAGCCCTGACAGGTTTCCTGGGTGACTCCCCCCCCCCTCCCACAGCTGACATAATCTCCACGGTGGAGTTCAACCACACCGGGGAGCTGCTGGCCACTGGTGACAAGGGAGGCCGCGTCGTCATCTTCCAGAGAGAGCCCGAGGTGCGTGGTGGGCTGGGCGGGAGCAGGCTGGGGTCTGCCAGGGCTCCGCTGCGTCTTCTGTGGCTCAGCTGGCACACAGAGCCGGGACCCAGAGGGGACCAGTCCTGAGTGTGCAACTGACGGGGCCAGTGGGGCAGGGTCCCTGCCTTGACCATCCCACCAATAGGACCCAAGTGGAGAGGGCCTCTCTCCTGAGCCCCTCCCTCAGCAGAGCTGGTGGGGAGGAGTACTGTCAGTTACCACACGCCTGGCCAGTGGAGAAGGGTCCCTTCCCTGGGTCTTATGTCTGCAGATACTGGCAGACAGGTACTGGTCTGTCTGGAGAGGGCAGGGGGAGGTGGGAGCTCTTGGCTGCTTGGTCTCTACCCAGATACATCCACATAGATACTGCCTGGTCCCCAGGAATACGAGGGGGGTTGATAGGAGACCAGGTACCAAAGTCATCAGTGCCGATGAGGGAGTGTGGGTACAGGGCCATCAGTGCAGATGCAGTGTAGATATAAACTGAGACTAGCCTCTGAGGACAGTGATGGGCTGTGGGGACAGTGGGGCTGAGGGGCTGCGGGCAGGGTGGAGCATGTAGCCAACTGTGGGTCTGTAATCGGAGTGGCAGGCGGACTGCTCTCCCTGGTTACAGCGCCCCGCCCGGGTGTGTCTGCAGAGCAAGAACGCGCCCCACAGCCAGGGCGAGTACGATGTGTACAGCACCTTCCAGAGCCACGAGCCAGAGTTCGACTATCTCAAGAGCCTGGAGATCGAGGAGAAGATCAACAAGATCAAGTGGCTGCCCCAGCAGAACGCCGCGCACGCCCTGCTCTCCACCAATGGTGAGCATGCCTGCCGTGTGTGTTCCTGTGTGTGTGCACACCCTGCTGTCCACCGGTGAGCCGGCCGGAATGTGTGTGCACAGCCTGCTGTCCACACAGTGCGGAGCCCACTGTGTGTGTGCATACCCTGGTGCCTACTGACTGTAAGCAGGTCTGCTGAGTGCCCGTGTGTGTGTGCCTGCTCTCTACCAGTGGTGAGTGGGTTTGATTCATATGTGTGCAAGAGGGGGTGTGTGTGTGCATGCCTGCTCTCCACCAGTAGTGAGTGGGTCTGCTCCATGTGTGTGCACGTGTGCATGCCCACACCCTCCTCACAGAGACACTCTGATGTCTGTGTGTGCCGGTGTGCATGTCAATGAGTGTGCAGTACAGTCCCACCCACACGTACATGATGCCCCCTGTGCATGTGTGTGGACTGTGAGTGCATGTGCAGGGTATACACATGCCATGTGTGTACCTGTGCGCGTGTATATGGTGTCCAAGCACATGTAAGCTTGGACACGTACACGTGTGTGTCAGCCTTTGGTGTCAACTGCTCATGCTGATTTCACATGTGAGTATCTTTGGTTTTTTTCTATGATGATAAACTTCTTGGAGAGCCCCTGCTCCGAAGGGCATGAGAACTCACTGCGTGCCTGTGCTGCACACGCTCAGCCACCCCGAGGAGCCCACCTGTGGGGAGCAGGCTCACTAGCATCTTGGGCAGTGCTGCTCTGGGGGTGGGAGGGGCCTCATACCCCAAGGGGCAGCTCCATGGGTGCAGCAGACAGGAGGCTGGGTGTCAGGAGGGGGATAGATCACCTGCAGCACAGCGCTGCTACACAGTCCACGGCCCTAAGCCCTTGCCCTTGTCCCTTCTGGGCAGAAGAGTCCACTCAGTCCAAACGTCTAATGCCTTGTCCTCCCTGCCTGCCAATGGTCTGGGAGCTGGCAGGGCCGTCTCTCTGGGAGTCAGCTTAGTGGTAAGTAGCAGACAGACAGCCCCACTGGCATCCTGGGGGCTCCTAGTGAGAACATGCCACCTGAAGCCACCCTATCTTTTGACCAGCCGCCTCACCTGCAGGAAGCGGCTGTGAGGAAGTGACAGAGGGCACTGTGCACACGTGTGCGCAGCGAGCTTCCTGGCCTCTGACAAGGCCTGGACAGACAGGTTGTGTCCAAAGTGGGGGATTCATAAGCACCCTGATCCCCTTCACCCTGTTTTTAAAGACAAAACCATCAAGCTGTGGAAGATCACCGAGCGCGATAAGAGGCCTGAGGGTTACAACCTCAAGGACGAGGAGGGCAAGCTGAAGGCTCTGTGCACCGTGACCTCACTCCAGGTGAGCCGTGACCTCGCTCCAGGTGAGCCGTGACCTCGCTCCAGGTGGGCGGCAGGGAGCCGGGCATGGGGACCTTCGGGCCTCCTGCTCAGGTTTGGATCAGGGGTCAGGTTCTAGGCCAGATGCTGCTGCCCCTGGGCCTGTTGGGGTCACACCTCGGGAGCTCTCCTTCACCCAGTCTCAGTGGGGTGGCCCCTCCCTCAGGGCTGGGTGGGGTCTTTGCCCGCTGCTTGTCCCTGCTTGTTCCTGGCCCCCAGACGAACCACAGGTGCCCGCTCCTGGCCTCTAATTTATACCTCACAGCCCCACCCTGCTCCTGCCCCTGCCTCCCCCAACCACCTGTCCTGCTGCAGGTGTGCCCCCCAACTGCCCACCCTGAGGCAGGTATGCCTCCCCGCCTGGCCCCCTTAACCCCTCGGCCTGCGACAGGTGCCGGTGCTGAAGCCCATGGACCTGATGGTGGAGGTCAGCCCGCGGAGGGTCTTCGCCAACGGCCATACCTACCATATCAACTCCATCTCCGTCAACAGCGACTGCGAGACGTACATGTCCGCAGACGACCTGCGGATCAACCTGTGGCACCTAGCCGTCACCGACCGCAGCTTCAGTGTCCTTCCTAACTCGGGGGCGGGGTGGGGCAGGTGCTGGGAGGGAAGGAGAGGGGTGCATGTGGGAGAGATGGGGGGCATGGGAGTGATGGGGTGTGTGGGAGAGGAGATGGGGTGTATGGGAGAGATGGGGAATGTGGGAGAGATAGGGTATGTGGGAGAGATGGGGGGATGTGTAGCCAAGGAGCAGGACACGGCAGGTGGCAGGTGTGCGGACAGGCGGCAGGTTTGCAGGAAGGTCGGCAGCAGGCGAGCGGGCAGGTGGCAGGTGTGCAGGCAGGTGGGAGGTGTGCGGGCAGGCCCAGTTGAGAGGCTTGGGAGCCGCTGGGGGAATTGCCCTTGGGGGGCGGTTGTATGGAGGGCTCCTGAGGGGGTAGCACTGGAGTGTCGTGTGGGACGGATGCTGTGCCTGACCCCGGGCTCCAGGCCAGGGGAGGAGGGCCCAGAGCCTCACTCTGGTGAGAGGGGTGTCTGTGGCTGGGGCCCCTCGCTGCACCCAGCCCGTGTGCCCGCACAGTCTTTAGAGATGAGGTGCTGGTTGTACACAGGCCCTGGTCTTGGGGGACAGGCTGCTGGCCCTGCAGAGCTGGCTGCAGCGGGCACTGTGGGGCTGCATCAGGAGCGTGGCATCCCTGGGGTTGGTGTCCTGGAAACCACTGCCAGCGAGGCCACAGGGAGCAGCTGCCTGGCGGGGGGCCACACGGGCTGGCCAAGGCAGCAGAGGTGGTGGGTTGGGACCCAGGCTGGTGAGGGTGGGTGCCTGGGTGGGGCAAAGGGAGGGCCTGCCCTTAGATCTGAGTCTGGTCCTGCCCACTCCCCTCTCCCCGGAGGTTCACTTCTGTGCACACGGTGACCGTTTTGTTCCAGCAAATGTGGTTTTTCACGACGATTGAGACAGGCTTGGGTGCAGAGGGGAAGGTGTTTTGAGGGCTCACGGATCACAAAGCCGACTCGCGGGTATTCACTCTGACCCTACCCCTGTGACCCTACAGACCCCACTGATACCCCTGACCCTACAGACTCTACCCTACCATGTCTGGCGGAGCCCTTGGGACTGGCCCCCCTAAGCCCCTTGTCACAGCCTCTGATGGAGGCCAGTGACAGGGAGAGAGGCTGGTGGCCTGTCCTCAGCGTGAGTCCCAGGAAGCAAGGCCCCCAGCGTCGTGTGGGGGAAGGGTGTCGGGGGACGGGGCTCCTATTTGTTGCTCAGCCTCCTGGGCTCAGTTGCCGCAGTGGAAGCCGCAGAGGCAGAGTCCCTCTGACAGGACATGCCAGAGGCCCAGCGCCTGCGCCGCAGGACTGGCTACAAGCGCACATGCACCGGACTTCTCACCGGCTAGGACTTGTCCCCAGGGCTCTCCCTTCCCCTCCCCCATAGCTCTAGGGGACAGCGAGAAGGGAGTCCTCCTTGAGGCCACTGAGCTCCAAGGTGGCAGGCAGACGGCACGGTGACCTCCGGTCCTGAGCCTCAGCCCTGGGGAATTGTGAAGGCGGTTGTCGATTTCCCTGCCCCAGAGTGTGTTCTCCTCGGCAAAGGCCAGGGGCAGGGCGGGCCGGCGGGCAGGCACAGGCGGGCTCTAGCAGCCGGGGGGGATCTCATCAGGCGGGGATCCTGAGTGGCCGTGGCTGACACTTGACAAGGGGACAGTGCCACAGCAGGGAGGGCATCCAAGCAGAGGTGGCTGTCTTTGCCTACCTTCTCTGGGCTGGGCTGGCCGCAGGGTCCATGTCGATCCGAGCAGGTTTATTCCTGGGTGTCTGTCTCCGGCCAGTCCACGCTGGTGATGCCACTGGGAGGTTGGAAGCCGGCCTCGTGGGCGGTAGAGCACAGATGCTGCGGACACCAAGACAGACCCACTGTCGATGCCACCCTGAGCGATCCCACGGGGCAGGGCAGAACCACCGCTACCACTGTGGGTCTCTGAGCCTGGTGCTCTGTGAGAACAGACCAGGCCATCCTTGTCCCAAGGACCAGCTGCGGGTGTCAAACTGCTGCTCTTGTGAGTAGCAGCCGGACGCTTAACCCCTGTGCTACCAGGACTGATGCTCTGATCAGGCCCCTCTGCGCTGATGTGGGCCCACCCCACCCTCACCTCTGGCCTCCGCCAGAGAGCAGGGACAGGGGACTGCAGGTGTCCTCGCCATTACACTCATGTTGGAAGAAGGAGGATCGCTAGTGGGGTGCTGGTTAAAGCCCTGGGCTGCCCCCACAAAGGCTTGACCCACCAGTGGGAAGCGCCAGCTTTGGAGAGCCCTTGGGGGAGCTCGGAGTCCCTTTGGGTACAGGTGAGGGAAGGAGGTGCAGAGACGGTTTGTGGAGGGCCTGGGGGTCGCATCGCTGGGAGCGCCAGAGCACCTGACCTGGTGCACCCGCCCCGTGCATACG